AATTGGAAAGCTGGAAAAGATGCTGAAAAGAAAATACAGTTCTGTGACTCTTGGTCAAGTAGGCCTGAGTTCATTTCTCCACATCTCCCTTCCCAGTGAACATAAACTCATTGCTCTGGTGGTTTCAATTTGGACGTAGTTGTGACAAAAAAGAAAAAAAATCTGACCGCATAGAGAAGAACACAGAAGAGGCCACTTCCTAGTGGCTCAATTTGATGTCCCAAATCACAGGCCTCCAGCACAATGTGGCCGGCTTCCGGTCAAAGGGCTAATAACCAAGGCTGGAGTAGGGAAGTGGGAGAACTGGGGAGGCCAGCACGAGAGCCTTCACCTTAAAGCGTAGCCCCACTCCGCCCAGCCCTGCTGTGAAGTGTGCAGCACTCAGTTTAGTCCTTTACCACAAGTAAGAAGAAATACAGGGCAGATTTTCCCAGCGTGATAAGCACACGTATGCTAAACCAGGACACCAAGGCCACAAGGAGATGATGAATCTCAAGGTGTCAGGTGTGCTCAGCAATGCAGCACTGCCTGCCCCTCCTTTGCACGTGGTTAACTCCTAATGAGTGCAGGAGGCTCATGGTGTTGGACATGTAGGTCTGTGGGGTTCCTGCCTTTCGTGGGATCCTGTGTGTATTGTTTAGTTGTACAGGTCAATTGTTCGCCTAAGCGCTAGACGTATCCCTAAGATCCTTTAGAAGGACGTCTCACCTTCAAATATAAGAAAGGAAATATAGAATCGTGTAAAAGGCAACAATTTGGATTCCACGATTGCTTTTAGCGACCCGATGGTAAATTCCTTTAGAGACGGCCAAACATAGCACCGGTCTCCTTCAGGGCACCAAAAGAAAATAAAAGACCCCGAATTACTTTTCTGAACTGCTACTCTTGTATAAAATGAAAATAATTTTTGATCATGCTGGCAAAGATCAAAAAGATAAGTGTTTTTACTTGAAGTTCTCCAATTTTGTCGGAACTGACTTTTCCCGTTGCAGTTCCAAAATGCTCACGTGACCCTGTTTATCTAAATGCATCAGATGTCTGCATCTTTTGAGTTTCAGCTGAGAAACTGAATCTCCATCAGAGCCTTCTATTTATAAGCTATTGCTGTTCTGCAAGCGATGCCCTGAATAAATCATTCGTTTCTTCGGCTTTAGTTGGTTCATGAAGCTAATTCTATGAAAGAGTATATCAAATATGACTTTACTTGTAGCTTTTTTTTTTTAACACTTTGGAGGCCTGCCACCCAGCTCCTGAATAAATACACGGAGACCTATTCTTATTTATGAATGTCCAGCATTAGCTTGGCTTGTTTCTAGCCAGCTTTTCTAATTTAAATTATCTCATTTATCTTTAACTACATTTTGCCTCTGGGCTTTTTACCTTTATTGTATATATCTTTCTTTCCTTCTTACTCAATAACTGGCTGTGGCTGGGTGGCTGGCCCCTAGAGTCTTCTTCTCCTTTTCTTGCTCCTCACTCTCTTAACTAAATTTCTCCCCCTATTTATTCTCTCTGCCTGCCAGTCCTGCCTATTTCTCTCTCCTGCCTAGCTATTGGTCATTCATCTCTTTATTAGACCAATCAGGTATTATAGACAGGCAAAGTAACACAGTTTTTCAGAGTTAAAGAAATGGAACATGAAAGAATGCAATGTATCTTTAAATCATCAAATAAATATTCTACAACATAAGGAAATGTAACACATCTTAAACTAGTATTCCATATTTACTATCTTAAAATTTTCATATATATGAGAATTCATATGAGTTTTTCATATGCATTTATATACATACATGTACACACACATTCCCCACATACTGCATTTATATACATACATGTACACACACACATACCCCACATACACTTTGATGTTGATTTCTTCCCAATCTGCAGAAACTCACAGAGCAGAAGAAAGTGACTGATAAACTGCCAATATAGACAAAAGAGTCTTTCAAATTTCCTGCTTCATGGAAAAGTCTGCTAGATACTATGGGCCTATAGGCTGAAGATGGATGCCCCAACATTACAGCAGAACTTTGGGTGTCCCTCTAGGCAATGAAATGTCTCTGTCAATTCTAGAGTTTTGGAAGCTGCTTTCAATGCACTTCCTGTTTACTTAGGTAGTATCATATCCTTCTGGAGTTGCTGATGAATTTGAAGGATAGATAGTTATAATTATAGTTTTTCCTTAGTTATGATAAGAAATAAAATAGATATAAAACTTTGAGCTCATAAAGATAGGATGGATGATAGAGTATTTTCCTTAATTTGCCAAATAGTAAATGGACTAAATAATGTAACAATAATTCTTGCTTGATAACTGTTTTGTATATGTAATTTTACCATGTTAAAGTTAAAAACCTCACTTTTATGTAGACAGAAAGGAGGAGATGATGTGGGATGTGCTTCTGTATGTGTTGCTCTTATTGGTTAATGAATAAAGCTGCTCTGGCCTGTGATAAGGCAGAATATAGCCAGGCTAGAAGAGATATCTAGAGAGAGTAGGTAGAGTCAAAAAATGCCATGTAGCTGCTGAAGGAGATAGTCGCCAGAACCTTACTGGTAGGTCATAGCCTTGTGGTGATACACAGATTAATAGAAATGAGTTCATTCAAGATATAAGAGTTAGCTAGAAATATACCCAAGTCTTTGGTCAAACAGTGTTGTAATTACTATAGTTTCTGTGTGATTGTTCAGATCTGGGCAGCTGGGAAATGACCACGCAGTCTCTGTTTACAGGAATTTATGAGACCTGACGTGAGTGCTAGGATATGGGCTCCCATTCTCATAACAGAGCATCATGTGCTCTGAGAAGCCCTCGTTCTCAAACATTGTAGTTGTTAATTATGAATACTCAGCCAGAAAACTCCTCGTCAATTAACAAATTGATTTTTTTTTCAGTTGTACCCAAAAGTGGCTTTATTTTTCTGGTTACTGAAAAAGTTCGATAGTATTTGAATACAAGGATCTCATCTCATATTTTATTGGGGCTCCAGCATTCCTGAAAACTGACTGCTGAAGTTGGCCATGGGGATTACAGTTTGTAGCCTGGGAGAGAACATGTGGTCACTATAAATGACATTTTGATGCTGTCGAGAGCTGGTGAGGCTTGAATGTGCTTTTATGGGCATCCCTCACTGGTGACAACTTCTATGGTACAAATTATTAAGAACATTGTGTTTACATTTGTTCTCCTTGTAAATGTGCCTTATGAGCATGCACTGTGGGTTTATATAGGGTGTTAGGAGGCAGAAAAGATTATTGTTCCCAAACCAATAACAACCCAGTAAGGAAAACAAATTATCAGTGGATTTCAGGAAACTGTGACATGTTTTTGGACATATCTGCCTCTGTCTGAGTCACTTTTATTTGAAGCTTACTTAAATTTCATTCTTTATTTTTGGGATGGGGATAAAGGACTGAGTTTTCTCCATCTTTGCTTCTGTAACAAAATGAATTTTTGTCAATATAACACAATGAAAGCAATAATGATTTTTCTTCAACTAATTATACAATGAATATAGTTCTTATTGGAAAGACACTCTTTTAGTATATCTTGTGAGAGAGTAAAACTGTACAAAGTGAATGATTAGAGTTCATTCAGATCTTAAAATATTAGGTTAGAAACTAGCTTAAATATTAAAGGGCTCTAGTGAATAAACCCACTGTTGGTTGGTGTGGTGATTTAGCATTATAACTGATCACTGTGCTGGCTTTGCTACTTGTGGTATTTAGTGAAAATGTGATAGCAAAAATTTGCACACTGATACCCCCAGGATTTCTAGTATTTTATTTTACAAAGATTCTGTAAATGTGCATAGAAAATAGATACTCATGCCTAGGAAGAAACCTGTTTGCTACCAATGATTAGCTCTGAGTAACTGCATGGTACATTCTGCTATATCTGTGCCTATATTGAATATGTAGGGTGCTTTTTGGTAGGATGGCCATTTTTACTATATAAATCCTACCAATTCATGAACATGGGATATTTTTCCATCTTCTGATATTTTATTCAGTTTTTCTTCAATATTTTAAAATTTTTAATCATGCAAGTCTTTCACTTGCTTCCTTAGAGTTACCCCAAGATATTTTACATATTTAAAGTCATTGTAAAAGGTGTTGTTTCCTGATTTCTTCCTCAGCCCATTTGTCATTTGTATACAGGAAGGCTACTGATTTCTGTGAGTTGATTTTGTATTCAGCTACTTAAGTTACTAATATTCAGAAATAAATTCATCATTAAGTTTTGGACCATTGAATTAGTCTTTTGATTTGGGGACTAACTTAAGAAATAGGAAAGGCTCATCAGATCAAAAAGCCAAGAGACAGAAACCAAACAAAATGAGGAGAAAAGAAAAATTCTCAGCCCCCAAAGGGCTTTTGTGAAGTGGTGTAGGCCCATATCCCCACGGGCTCTAACAAAGTGGTAGACATGAGACCTCTTCTTCAAACCTCATACCTCATACCTTCCAAACTTATGATGGCACTGAGCACCATCATAAGAAAGATTTGGCAGCCACTGGCTCTGTACATAGGTTCATGGAAGGGAGGCTGCTACCCTCTTAGGAGTCACAAAAATTACCCTAACAGTGAAGCAGGGCTTGCCAGTGACAAACTCTAAAACCCTTGAGCAGCGATAACAAAAGTTATTGGCAAAGGCAGGAAATGTAATTAATACAGAAGGATGCTTATGCCTTGACACTGGGGGACCGATGACATCACTCATGGCTGAGCTGTTTTCCTGGTGTTCCTTTCAGGATGCTGAAGGCAGGCAATCCTGGTTGTCAAGTACAGGGCCTTCCCATGTGTTTCCTTAAGCTTTTCATTCCTTTCAGAAGGAAACAGCCCAGTTGTCCTCCCTGTCCTTCTCAACTCTATCTCATAGCTGTTATAAAGCATATGCCAACTGTTTAAAATTTTTCTATTTATGCCTTTAAAATTGTTAGCATTATAAGGAGGATCACTAGATTTCTGAGTTATATCAACTTCTCTTTCAGAAATCGATGAGAAGAGGGTGACCAACACTCAAGAAGTAAGTTTTCCTATATTTTGTATCAATGTGTTAAAACATAACTGTGATATCACTGTGCTTTTGTTTTATTTTTCTTTTCTCCTTATTCTGAGAATCAGAAGTAGGCTCTCACACACAGGCATATTCTCCACAGAGCTACATGCCCAGCCCAGGATATTATTTGGAACAGAGTTTGTGGGTGCCAATCCACATTAATGTTAACTGTGTGGTTGATAATACACCAATAACATAAGCAGTTGACATAAAGATACAGAAAATATTCAGGTTGCTTTTCTGAAAGAACAGGTTTCCATCCTCTGTGGAAACACAGGAAGAACCTCTTTTCCAAAACAACATATCCTTAGACCCAGATTCTGAAATCAAGATACCTTTAGTGTATATATGTTGGTTTAGTTTAGCAGTCTGTACAATGAAATGTCTCTCTGTAGTTAGTTCCTTCACAGTCAAGAAATTCAAAGAAAACACAATAATATACATAATACAGACTCTCTTTGTATTTTACATCTTTACGTTGCTTGTTTTCCTTTTTTTCTTTAATCTATTACTGTTGTACACTCTCTCTTTAAAGACTTTGTTTTATTTTTTTAAAAACGATTTAGTTCTTTTTATAACTCTCTATATTCTTTTTTTCTTCTCTCTCCATAGCCTACATATATTTATCCAACACTGTGACCCACTTAAAGGTCTTTTTCATTTGAATCTGTTTTTATTGTGTATCTGTAATTCTTTTCTGACCAGGACTGCTTCTTAAAATGCTAAGCCGGTGTGGCTAGGGCCAACACACCCTGCCTACTTGCTCCGCCGGGTCCAAATGGTGGAGATATGTTCGCTGCGCCTGAGAGTCATGTATATTGTCCCATTTTTAGGCACATAGTGGGTCTATGTTGCCATTAAGCAATTTGTAGCACTCTGCCAAACCCCATTTAAATGCTCTGCATTGGACCTCCCGGCAGAGTTAGAGCCATTTGTGCTGGTGAACCAGGAAGCCACTGCTTTTTGTTTGTTTGTTTGTTTGTTTGCTTGTTTGTTTTGTTGCCACTGAATTAGGAAAACCTCCATTAAAGTAGTTACAGCATGTCCCCAGCAAGCAGAACCCATCCGGAAAAAAAATGTGGTTAAACTTTGTATTTTAGTGTCTAGAATTTCTTTCCAAGCCCTCTCAGGTTTTATGTGGATTTAACTAACACATGTTAGAGTGCCAAATTGAATAATTTGCTGAGACAGTAAAGGCAAAAATACTTTGAAAACTGAGCACTTATGTAAAGTAGGCATCACTGTGCTTTGTCGTTACCTTACTGAAAGACCACAACACCTCCATAGAATTAACTTTCTATGCATCTTAGAATGTGTATATGGAAAAAGATACAAGGAATCCCAGTGGTTGTAGCTGCTCATCAAGATCAGTCTGATATGACGGAAGCAAGAACGGTCCCCCAGAATCATCAATCGCCCATCCAGTCAACACTCATGCAGACTGGTACCAGAGAACCCTCTTACAGAATATGCTGGGCTGGGACATGACTTGGTGGAGAGTGTGCCCATGTAAGACCCAGGGTTTGATCCTCAGTATAAGGAGAAAAGCAACCTCTTGGGCAGCTTGTTCATTTGCTAAGGATTTGGCCAGTGTTTGTTTCAGTTTCCTTACCTTCACTTTTTGATAGATGTATTTTGAATCAGTGACCAGTAACACCAGGATGAGATTTTGAGGACAATTTAATTTGCATAAATGTGCCTCAATTCAAGTTAAAACTTTACAAAATCATTTCTGCTTTCTTTCAAACTCTACACCTTGCATTTTTCTTATATACATGGAAACCATAAAACCAGACCTCAAATATATCTTATAACTGTTTATATTTATGGTTTTCCCAACAAAGATCACTGCAGACACTAGAAATCATTAATTAGAAACCTTTCCTTCATCCCATTAAAATATAAGTTAATATCATGTTTAAAAATATTTTCAAGTCTCATGTCCCTTCAGTGTCACTGGATGGTAGTGCCTGGCCTTGACCTTCTGATGCTCCTTATCCCTCCTCGCTGGGACTAGAATTACCAACATACACAGCTATGTTTTGTGACGTGATTAGCTAAGTCATACTACAATTCTATCCTTTCAATAAATATCATTGTAAAAATATAAATAAATACTACATTGCATTATTATAGTGTATCAATAAATATACATATTTTAAAAAGCTATTAGGACACAATCTGATTGGTGAATGAACTATATAAATAATAATAATAAATAATATCTTTAATATAGATGATTCCTTGTGATTAAAGGATGCTGGTTTTGACCATGAGGCATATTCATGTTTCTATCATTTTTAAAATGTAAAACCTCTTAGTAACCTTATCCTGATCTGGGGTATTTAGGTAACAGTTCAATGTAGCGGTTTTGGTAAGAAAGGACTTACCTCTTGGACAAACAGAAGGTATCGCCTTGACATTTTCATTCTGAGTGAAAGCAAGGCTTAGACTGAAAGTGGAAATTTAAGAAGGTTTGGAATTTCTTTTATGAATAAAGAACTCAAATTTTCCATTTGGAACTCTCATTAATTACAGAGGCAGAACACACACACACACACACTGTGTATGTCTATGTCTATACATACCACTGGCATACTTTTTGAAGTATACTTTGTATACTATGTTTTTCCTGCAATTGAATTAATACTCTTTTATTTCCTTAAAATAAACTAATCTGAGGACAGGCAAGATGGCCTAATAGGTGAAGGCTGTGGCACTGACCATCGAGTCTGACACCCCAAGTTTGATCTCCCGTATGCAGCCGTGAAAGGAGAGAAGCAATTCTACAAACTGTCCTCTGACCTCAGCACATGCATCATGGCATGTGCACATCCAGACATATCCACACACAGTGGACTAACAATCCAACAAATGAAAAATGATAAGTACAATAAAATTACATACAGTACTGTTAAATTAATGTTAACAATGAAGATATAAAAGCGTGAGAATTTTAAGGTAAAACAGAGCTTTGGGTCCTGGAGGTCTGTGGTACCCTGAGCGTGTCTATAGCTGATTACAGCTCTACTTCCTGCCAGGGAAACAGCAGAAAGCCCTTTGAGATACATTGCTCGTTATCCTCCTCACACGTCGACAGCAATGTATTTTTGACGAATGCCTAAAGCTTTCTTTTTCTTTGTCCACAGTCGCAGAATGCATCCCCTAAGCAAAGGAAGCAGAGTGTGTACACACCGCCTGCCATGAAAGGTACTGTTCAGGTACCGTTTTGGGGTGTCGTGAACGGTGGTTGTTAGGACAAGCTGTTTGTCGCGTAGACTGTTCTGTAGATTGCGAGCTCGTCTCAAGGCTGTGATGGGGAAGGCGTTTACATCTCAGAAGCATTGTTCCCTTATGGGTGAGGCAGGCAGTTGAGGATCTGATGACAGCGAGGAAACAAATTTTCAAAATAATGACAAAGATTTTTTTCTTTCACCTTTCTTTGCACCGTTTCTGTGAATTTTTCCACAGTCTCTAGTTATACTTGCTGATTGGCGCATGACTATCAGGAGTTTGGGGTTTTGTTGGTTTCTTTTTTATTTTGTTGTTGTCCCCCCCCCTTAATTCAAGGAAAGCAGAGGAGTTTGAGCTAGGTGGAAATGGAATGCCAAGGGTTGCCTCGCTGCCTCCTGTCAGGAGCCACTCTGCTGAACCCCACCTAGCACCAATTTGTGGAGCTCTTGCCAGCTGCCCAATCACAGCAGAGAATGCTAGCTCAGATGTTGGCGTTTCCCCAGACTTTCTCTTCAGCGTGGAACTGCCAAGTAACATCTAAGTGTATCAGTATTTTGACTAATACTAGTTCCAAGAAAGGCTTCTTTTCTTTTTCACACACAAATGTTCCTGACACAAGCAGCGTCTGTCCAGGCCAGTATCTTGCCTCCCAGCTTGGCTCCCTGGCTGTTGGCTCTGGGTTCATCACCCAGAGCCCTCCAGCTCTGACTCAGTGCCCCAGAAGCCAGCGGGGAAGCTTAGCAGTCAAAACCAGGAGTGAGAGTTCCCACTTTTTCTCCTCTTTTGGGGGAGGGGGATAGAAATGGATCCATAGCTACTCTCAGCAAATCTCAGCCTTATGCAATTATAAAAGGGTGAGTCTGTTTGTACAGGGATGAGTACAGGATGCATTGTCTGCATTGGAGTTTATCCCAAAGCAATTGCTGAAATTCCTAGGCATCCTTGTCTAAAGATTAGTGTGGCATTTTAAAGATATTTCTTCATTGTAAGTGATTTGTATTCTTCAAGACATTTCAGTTTTGGCATGAATGGGCAACAATGAAAGATAAATGTGTAATTGCCCAATTCTTTCCTCTGTTTTATTTTGGGATAGCTTAAGCTAAATAAAGTAGTCCTCAAGTCCTCAGAGAATAACTATATTATTTTGAAAGGAAAATCTTAAACTCCGAGGCCTGAGGGGCCGTGGTGCTCATTATTTTTAGCTCCCAAATATTTTAAGAATGTGGGATTCTAGCGTTAAGGAAGCTAGTTCAACCAAAGTATTTTAAATATAACTTTACCCTGTGGACCCAGAGACTGTTCTTCAACAACCACCATCTACAAGAATGAGGTAAAGCCTGGAGGAGCACAGCCATGCTTTCGTGAAGGGATCCGGGGGTTGATACAAGTCACTTCGTGAATATCTCTGTTAGTTTTCAGCTTATGGCAGAAGAGGAGGGCGATTCTAAATGATTCCCTCCATCTATCTGTTCCTAAGAGCTGGAAATGGGTGTCTGAAGACCAATTGAACCAATGGTAACATATGGTCTATTTTGAGTAAAGAGAGTAGCTTTAATCATAAGACGGATGGCTGAACAAAGGGAGTGTTGTTGAGATGGGAAAGACATTCATGTCGTTGTCCCAAATGGGAAGTTCTTCGGATTGCAGGGGAACAGTGCACAGTGCGGAAAGTGAGAGCAAAAGGACTTGCTGGGGGTGTACGGCACCCACAGAGGCAATTAACAGTTGTGAAACGAGCAAACAAAACAACAACAAAAACTAGGAGGCACTTGTGCCTGAAATATTCTTTCTCCCTCAAAACTTAATTCTTCTTCGTGCAAGCAACACCGAATTAGCTTTTGCTGGCACCATATGCATTGTTGACAGATGGCAAACTGACGATGAATCTAAGGTTTCTTCACCTCCATTCCTACTGATTTTCATATTCTCCAATCATTTCTTGCTGTCAAACTATAAGCCTTTTTTTGCTTCAACATTGTCATCTCAATAGGATTTTCTATGTCTAGAGCTGGGCTGTGGAATTGACGGATCATAGTTTGTCTTCTGATTCTACCGTCCGTTATGATTTCAGTGATCTCAATGGTGTGCCATCTACAGAGAAAATAATTTTCTCTTTCATATTCTTAATACAAATCCATTACAATTCTGCCAAACGGAACAAAACGCAGACAGAAAAAAAGAGAGTGCCCCGAAGCACTTGGGTCTCCCTCAGGTTCACGCTTGCTTTGGCTGCCATGATTTAGCAATTATCCACCAGACAGAACAGAAGGCTCTCCCTTGGCATCCGAGATCCTCGGAGGCTTTCATCTTTGACAGGTTGAGGCGCTTCAGATGTCCTGTGCTCACCACACTTTTTATAATATACAGATCAACCATAAATTTAAGATACATATTGTACTTCAAAATGACAGACATTGACATTTTCATCAAAAACCCTGACTTTTCCCTTGCACTATAATCTGGATAATTCAGATAAGTAGAAAGTTCTAAAGATTATCATAAAAATGACAGCGGATGGCTGGAGGTCCCTGTGAACTCTCCTGGGGTTGATTTGTGTGGTTGTCAGCCTGCAGTTTACAGAACAGTCGATTAAATTATTGTTGGATTGCTTGGGTCTTGTTTTCAGGAAAGCAAAGTGAATTTGAATCCTGGCACCAAAACTGGCTGACTCATTTCCCTGCTGTGTGTGTGTATGTGTTTGTGTGTGTGTGTGTGTGTGTGTGTGTGTGTGTGTGTGTTCTACTGGAATTCAAATGTGATTTACTGCAAAGTAAGTGCTATTGATTTCAGTGGAACCTGAACATTAAACAAAGGAGCAGATAGGAAACCCACTTAGTGTGCAGAGCCCATTAGTATTATATTTCTATTCTTAATGTACAGCAAGCCGTATGCTTCCTTTACTTCACAAACATCTTCTCTCAGATTTCTTGTAAAGGAAAATTTTAGTTGCTTCAGTGCCCTGTGAGTGCTCTTCTGAGCTAAAGGGTCAGGTCGATCTTCAGATGTAGAAGGCGTTTTCACTCCAACCTCATATTTTTAATTGTTCCAAAGACTGCTGCGTTCATAAATTTTTAATCTTAATTTAGCCTCCTCTCATAAATAGAGCAACAAATGAAAATATGGAACAACCCAGTGTAGAAACCGAATGGCCTAATAGAAAGGCTAAAAGAGTCCTAAGGAGGGGCCTCAGACTGGGGCAATGGGGGTGGGATATTACTGAAAGATGATCCATCTAATCTGCAGGGGAAGTTGCTTGTCACACTGATTTCAGGGGAACCAACACGACAGAACATGGATTTTGAGTGACAGCTCATCAGGGTCTCTAGCTTGACATCTCTGTTTGTGAGCTGAGCCACCTTCAGAAACTCAGGGTCAATCTTTGAGTCTTCTATCGTTGGCGCCATGGAGATCATCGGGAAGCAAGCAGAACGTGAGCAGAAAATGCTTAAAATAGGCCTAACGGAACTGGGTCCATTTTAAGTAGTTATTTGGACCCTCGATGGAGAATGAGGTGCAGCCACGCCATCTCAATCAAGGCCTTAGGAGTTGAGCAAAGAGAAAATGGGGAAAACAGAGCCACGGCTGGGAAAAGGATGAAACCTGCTGCAGGTCTGCCCTTACCCAAGGGGAATGCAGTCAGCTTTAAGGGTTCCTGATCCTACCCTTCACGGCATCTTGCAAGCGAGACTATGATTTTATTCAGCTGAGCTACAGGCAAACTTAGACAGTATTCTTTGTCATTCTGGTTCCCCTTCAACACAGTATGGTCGCGGCTTCATTTCACCCAGCGGCTCCTCACAGATGCCATGTCCCGCTTTCCCAAGCGAACTAACAGTGCAATCAGACATAGTTTCCAGAAAGTAGAAGAGCGAGGTTTTGGCTATGGTGAATTTGGATGCAGACACAAAGAGTACAGTAAATGTGTCTTGTGACGGGGCTGAGTGCACTATGGACACACAGCTCAAAGACAGTGCAAGTAGATTAACAGGGATTGTACTGTGACTGTGTCTCGGGAAGTTCCCGGAAGGAATCAGTCAGCTCCACACTCTGCTGCCGTTACTAAGTACTGTTCAGAAATGGAGGCAAAAACAGAGGGACGGGGTATTGGAGCTGCTTACTAGGGCGTTTCCACCCCGTCTGTCTCCTGAGAACACTGGTTCTCAACTTTCCTAATGTCACAATCCCTTTAATACAGCTCCTTGTGTTGTGGTGACCCCCCAACCACAACATTTTCATTGCTACTTCATAACTTTGCTACTGTTATGAATTGTAGTGTAAATGTCTGACATGTGACCCCGGGGTATTGTGACCCTCTGGGTGAAAACTACTGCTTTAGAGCCTTTCTGGCTTTCTGCAGCTCCTTTGCAGGTACTCATTATATCTGTTGTTCTAAATCTTGGAGGGTTTTTATTTTCACTGTTGTTTTGTTTTGTTGCAAGATTTTTGTTTGTTCTGTTTTCGAGGGATGTGTGTGTGTGTATGTGTGTGTGTGTATGTATGTGTGTGTATATGTGTGTGTGTGTGTGTGCACCAGTTTAGTTTATTTACTATGCAGGGTAGGGTTCACTTGTTCAATGCACGGTTTCTAGGTAACAAGGCACATTCTAAATATACACAAATCTTGCTCCTTAAAGAGTACGCTCTCTTTCCACACCCACTTCCTCTACCACTCTCTAATTACTCCCTCGAGTTTTAAGTTTATCTTCCTTCATATCTGAAAACGCAGGTTGGGGAACTAAGAATGCTCCCTGCTCAGACGTCAAGTAGATGCCTTTCTTTCTTTCTAAGGACAACATTGAGAGAGAGTGGAGCAAAATAAGGGAACAGACATGGACTTCTTGTCATACAGTATCAACAAAGACTACTAACTTAAGAGGATTAAGGAATCGGGAGATGAAGTAAACCTCAAAATTGAAAATTGGGATAAGTACTTTAGTCAACTTCATGATGCTGCTTAAAGCACTTGAAAGTGAGGACACCATTTAAT